TAGTATCTTGATGCATAACCCAGAGATCTTATGAAAATGCAGATTTTGATTCAGTAGGTCTAGAGTTATCTTTAGATTTCACACTTGTAACAATTTGGTAGGTGATACTGATGCTACTAGTCTATAGATCACATTTTGAATAGCAAGAAATTTGATTAATAACTGGCTGTTATAGGGGGTGATGGTAAGGCTCAGTTGGTTAAGCAGCCGACACTTAACTTCCACTTAGGTCATGATCTCATAGTTTGTGAGATCGAGCCCCGTGTCAGGCTCAGCACTGACAGTGTGGAGCCTGTTTGGGATTTTCTCTCCCCTCTCTCTCTCTCCCTCTCCCACCCCCTTTCTCAAAATAAATAGATAAACATTAAAAAGTAACCTGGCTATTATAGATGTTGAGGATTAACCAATATTATCACTATACTACTTCATGCCAGGAACTGAATTTGTCAAACACTGCATGCAGCCTGAATGATGAAGCTTACTTAGTTAAATAGAGGAGTAATGGTACTCAGGGACTGTAATGCCTAAGGTTATTTGGTAAGTGACAGGTCTCAGCAACCTGTACTGGAGACACTGCGAATAAGGCATGACAAGGACAAGAGGAGTGGGGGAGAGAAAAAGGCAAAGTGCTAACTTACAATTCTTGGATCATATAATTTTGTGGTTCATTTCTCAGTAGAGTTGGGGATATTTGCAATGGCAAAATCATATAAAAAACTCAAAGCAGGATAAAGAATCTGGAACTGAAGAATATAAAAGCAGAAAACTATGTGCAAACACTGACGCATAAGAAAGAGATTTAGCATTACTTCTTATTTCTTCCTTCATAGTGCTGCCCACCCTGCTAAATTGATAGCTTGTACTTGGGTAAAGACCTGTTATTCTGGATTATAAGAGAAAAGTTATCGTTACTTTTGACTTCTGAAATGTACATGTCATCAATTGCCACTTTTAACTGTAACGCGTTACTGGAAGCTGAGTAAATAACGCAATGTCTAGTATAGTAGGTTATATTTCTCATGGTACAATGCATCGATCAAGGCTTTACAACAAATAATCAATTCATTCAACTGGACCTATAATGTAAATGAAAAAAAAAAGCAGCTTTGGTTTAGTTTAGAGGAAATACTTCTGGATTTTGTGTCATCAAACCTGGTTTTGAGTTTTAAGCCTGCTACTAACAGGCTACATATCACATTTCTAATCTTTCTGAATCCTAATTTTATGATCTTTAAATGGAAATAACCATCACGTACGTGGTTTTGAGATAGCAATGACAGAACCAAGGCAATAACATACATAGCATCAGGCACATGGAGGCATTTATTAAATGATTATTGAAGACAAGCCTGAATATTATGATAGTATAATGGTTTAATGAATAGTTATAGTTATTTTAAGGCTAAATAGCATGTATGTCTACTGTAGTCATTAATTATAAAAATAATATGCATCCTATATAAGCATATATATTTTGTAGTTAGTTTAGTATATTAATAAACACAAATAGAAACATAATGTAATAAGCTTTGCGTACTCTTGGATCTCCTAAAGCAGGGCCATCAACATCTCTAAGCTGAGGGTTTTTTGTTTTGTGTTTTTTTTAATATTTATTTTTGACAGAGATAGAGTGTGAGTGGGGGAGGGGCAGAGAGAGAGGGAGACGCAGAATCCAGAGCAGACTCCAGGCTCTGAGCTGTCAGCACAGAGCCTGATGCAGGGCTTGAACCCATGAACTGTGAGATCATGACCTGAGCCAGAGTCAGATGCTTAACTGACTGAGCCACCCAGGTGCCCCATGTAAGTTGAGGTATTGTTCAGAAATAGTTTGGCATAACTGATCTCTAGATATCCTTGAGGTTCTGTATTTATGTAACTTCCCTTTATCATTACTTTAAGTCAATGTTTAGTATATTTTGGTTATGATAATATATAAAAGCCTCAGGAGGGCTTACATGATTTTTGTCTTTAAAAATATCAGTAAATTTAATTCATTTTAACCAAGAACTCAATCACCTATTAAATAAGATAATATATATGATGGCATAGAAGAAAAAAATATATACATAGTAAGAGTTAAAGCCCTACCTTTAACATGATTTCAGTATACAAAGAAGTAAAAGGGTATATATAGAGAGGGGGGGCATATATTAGAAGAGATTCAATTTGAGGCTTTGATGACTGGTTGTAAAGTAAAGGGTCAAATGAGGTCACATTGAAAATGCAGACAATTTAAGGAATGGGAGAACACATGGTCAGTTGTGCTTGTAGAGGAAACTGTTACAGCACAGGAATGTTTTCAGGTAGTAAAAGCGGCTGTCCGGCATCACTGAGACCCAGGTGAGTTTGGGGATCTCTGAGAATGTTCACAAGACTATGGTTGAGAGGACAATTTTGCCTGGTAGGTAACTATGATGGGAATGATACGTGGGCATGCTGGGAATGCCAGAAGTTGAGAGGTTGGTGAGTGGGATCGTGGAGGAGTGGTCTGTAAGGGAGGAACTGGATAATGATGGCCTTCCCTGAAGGAGAGTAAAGCCATAGGAGAAAAGATGCCCCCCTTTAAGAAAAGTTTGGAGGAAGGTGGTTTCCTGAGATGAATGACAATTAAGATGGAAAGATGAAATAATGATTATTGAGAGGGAAACATTACATGGACTTAGAACATCTTCACAAGAGAAGATGGGCTTTTGAAAGCCATGACATTAAAAGACATGGGTGTGTGTGTGCCCGCACAAGATAATTCAGAAGGCAGAGTGGCCACAGGAATTGGCTGGCCTTGCACAAGAACTGAGAAGTATAAATGGCAGAGAAGAAGGTGGTGGAAGGTTGAGGGCAGTACTGGAGGGTAAGTTGGAGGAAGAAGACTGAGAGTGTATGCAGGTAGAATGAGTGTTAAGCACCTTCCAGTTGGAAAGATCATATCAAGTGATGTGATAGTTGAAAAAGGCAGCCTGAGATTTGCATATGTAATGGATATTTTTTTACATGGTTTGTAGGGAAAGAGAATTTAGACTTGATTTTACGGATTTATATCTTAGGGCTTCTGAATATAAGCTGCATTTTCTCTTCCTTATTATCCAGGGGGATGGTCAGAGATCTTGGTGCAAAAATCATGGAGTAGGTGGGTCTCTCTCTCTCTCACCAAAAAAAAAAAAAAAAAAAAAAAAAAAAAAAAAAAAAAAAAAAAAAAATACTGAAGTATTATAATGATCCCTTTACTATTTACTCCTTTAAAAAAATACAAAGTATTTTAATTATAAAAATTACAGAAAACAGTAAGATGGCCACTAATGTATCCACCACTGAATTTAAAAGAAATTGACATTTTGCATTTTCATTTCATATAATTAACTTTTGTTAAGGATTTTTTTTTTTTTGAGATTTAAACATGTATACATGTACCTTGAATCAGTGGAATCAGGGAGCTGGTTGTGATTGCCAATTGCTAATTTTTCAGTAATTTTAGGAGCCAAGTGACATTATATTGGTAATTTGAAAGTGACCATAGTGGGAATGTTTACAGAAATTGAGACACAATACAAATCAACACTTTATATTTTTGGTTAAGAACTAGCTATTCAGCATTTTACCAGGATACTGCTGGTCTGAGTTTGCAGACTTAAACTTGTATATTGTATTTTATTGGATGGATATGAAAATTTGGATCTTTCCCATGTTGAAGTATTCCCATATTGAAACAATTCTGAGTTCAACATTCTTATCATATGCAAAAAGATTCAGATGTAGAAATGCAGATGGGGAATTGCTGGGTGCCAAGGTATATACATCCTCAAATTTACTGGATAGTAACATATTATCCTATAAAATGACTGTAGCATTTACATTTCCACTAGTAATTGTAAGGGCTTTATTTCCTGTATCCAGTAGTATGAAATGATGTTTTATTAGTATGAAAGGATACCAGGGATACTTAGCATTTGACCAGCAACACATGAAGTTAAGGATCATGACCCTTTCTCGTAGTTACGGCTTTTCTTTGTCCTTTGTGTTATCTTTGACATATAGATATTTTAAAATTTGGGTTGAGGATCTCTTTTCATGGTTATTAGACATATACATTTTTTTTTATAGCCTGTCCATGTCTTGATGGGGTTGTTTGTCTTTTTTCTTATTAAATTGTTGAAGATCTTTACATAACCTGGCTATTTATCTTTTGATGGATTATTTCCACGACAAATATCTTATCACAGTTTGTGGCGTGCTTTTTTCCCCCACTTTATTTATGATGTCTTTCAACATATAGAAGTTATAAATTTTATTATAGTTGAATTTTTCAACCATTTCCTTTAGGTTTACACTTACTGGTCTTGTGTGAGACACCCTGATATCGTAAATATGCTTTTCAGTATTTCATTTTGAAAGTTGACAGATATGCTATTAGCATTTAGGTTCTTTTGATTACTTCTCTTAAACGGTATAAATGGGCTGTCATTAATGCCAAAGAGATAAAGTTTGCAAAGAGTACAGATTTTGGTTTGACTCTAAATTATTCTTCAGTATTTTATTGTCATTCTGTGGTCGATTATACGCTACACTTTTAGCATACTAAGATGCATTGGTCGTGGTCTTGATTTTCTCATGGAGACAAACCTATTATAGCACATGCAATGGAGTGTAAGGGCTAAAAGAAGCTCCCATTGAGCTCATCCAGAAAAGGAGAGCAGTGAATTATATGCTGTGGGGCTATTAACTGTTCTGTTCATTCATACACTCTGAGCTAATAACAATTTTATGGAAAAGAGTTGTAATCTATAATGTCAATGCTATACTCTTAAAGGATGCCAATATTTATTTCCATGTTTGTTTTTGTTTTGTTTTGTATTGTATTACAATGGTAAAAATTTGTTGGGGCTACATAGACCTTTTCCTCCTAATTTAGGAACAAGAATAACTTATCACATATACTGGTTGCTAAGATGTTTTAGATTTATGGAAATGTTAAGAAACTGTTTTTAAAGCTTGGTTTCTGCTTGCAGAGACGAAACGGAGAAGATATACCAGTGGCCCAGACCAAGAACATCAATCACAGAAGATTTGCTGCTTCCTTTAGATTGCAGGAAGTGACCAAAACTGACCAGGATTTGTATCGCTGTGTAACTCAGTCAGAACGAGGCTCCGGTGTGTCCAATTTTGCTCAACTTATCGTAAGAGGTAAAGTTGCTTTTATTTCATGAAACAGCTTGTCTTTGTTAGAACAAAGGCACCTTGTAGTGTTATGCCCAGAATTCGTGATCCCCAAAGACCACTCAAGGGCGAGTCGATGCAAAAAGCCTTTATTGACTGCTTCGAGCTCAATCCCCTACCTGCACCCGGCGCGGTGAGATGCCAGGAAAGAAGCGGTTTCAAGGACAAGGTTTTATTGGGTCCTGAGAGGCGATTGGTGAGGTAATGGCTATGGCCTCAGCCGATTGGCTGGGGAAGGAGTCTAGGGAAGGAGGTCGAGTCCTGTTAGGCAGGTGAGGAAGTCTCAAGGGGAGGAGGTGTGGTCAAGGTGAAGGACACACAGAGACAAGATGGAGTCGGCTGGCGTGAGCCCGCCTTTCATTCCCCTTGTCATGTAGCCAGGACCCCAATCATGGGACCGGCTGCATTTATGGTGACCAGGAACAGGGATTTGGAGGATTTCACGCCAGCATTCTGGGAATTGGTGTCCCTGGGGTGGTTCTGGGACATCTGATTAAATGTGTCAGCTGGTATTCTATGATCTGCCAGAGTGATGTTTGAGAAGCGTGGGGACTCCAGCAGCATGAGCAATGATAGAGTTAACAAGTTACCAATATTGAGTAAAGTCAAATGGCTGTAGCTTGAGCTTGGCCGGGTTGTGTTGGTGTCCCGACGATGGCCCATCGGCGTGACAGCGTCCTTCGGTCGAGGAGAGTCCGCTGGCTGTGATGTGGAGTGGCCGATGGACCCGGAGTGGTGATGCCGTCTGCTTGAGAAGCGGTGGGGAGTTGTCCAGCACCGCGATGTAAGGTCCTTTAGCCGGCTTCGAGAGTCTCTCGGTGGTGCCTCTTGACGTAGACCCAGTCTCCCGGCCTGTATTGATGAGGTGTCGGGATCGGGCCAGCCTCGTAGATGGCACGGAGACGCGGCCAAATGTCCTCGTGCGCCCTCTGGAGCCATCGAAAGAAGAAAAGAAGTTAGCGTCTTTTGGCTTTCAGCAATAAGTTCGCTTCGAGCTGCAGGAGCCAACAGGGTGGCCTGCCAAGCCTTGATCTCGTGGGGAGTAAAACTCAAGAATTGTAAGAGTGTTTCTAACCTGGTAAAGAGGGCGTACGGTAGGAGAGTCACCCAGTCACCTTGATCTCCATGGTTAATTTAGTAAGGGTCTTTAGGGTTCCTATTCATTCTTTCTACCTGTCCTGAGCTCTGGGAATATATAAACTGTCTTAATTTCCAGTTTGCCCCCACTGCCTTGGCTACTGCCTGTGTTACCCTGAGATAAAGCTGGTCCATTGTCTGATCCTACCATGGCAGGAAAACCATACCTGGGTAAGATGTCTTCTAGTAGCTTCTTAGCCACCGTCTGAGCCGTTTCATGCTTGGTTGGGTATGCCTCCACCCAGCCAGAGAAGGTGTCTGTAAATGCGTCCTCGTGTGGTGCCTCGTTAGAAGATGGTGCGGGTGAATTTTTGAATCCCTGAGGTAGCCTTGTCCAGGTGAAGGTTGCCCTGTAGCCCTCGAGGATCATGCCCTTTCGGCCGAACAAGAAGGTTGGCTCTGGGGTGCCAGCAACAGACTGAAGAGGCATCCTTTAAATCTAGTACAGTACCCAGACCCTGGAGAGCCAAGGAGCTCAAAAGAGTATATAGGTTGGGAACAGTTGGTTGTATAATACAACCCTTTATTTACTTCGGAGGTCTTGTGCAGTCGGTAGTCCCATTTGTGTGAGGCACGACCCGGCAGTAAGGGGGGTGTTCCAGGCAGACTGGCAGGAACTGGTACCCTGAAGCCGTAGTCTCGGAGATGTGTGGCTGGATCCCCTTCCGAGGGCCTCTCTCCTGAGACATGGTATTGTTTGATCCTGCAGGACTCTCTCCTGTGGCTTGAGCTCTACCAGGACTGGGGTCCTATAGAGCTAGTCCCATCCCCTGTCTGCCCCATTGAGGGAATTCTAAGTAGCCATCTGTCTGCCATCCTCTCTGGGCTGCTCCTGGTGGAGGTATTCATCCTCCAGTTTCATGGTCAGGACCTGGATAGGGTGGCCCTTGCCATTCGGTGACCTGGGGCCCCCTTGTCTGAAAGTTATCTGAGCTCAATCTTGGTCAGTAAGTCTCGTCCTAACTTGGCCGAATTTAGGGGCATTCTGGCATTACCATAAGAGTTGGAATGCCGTTCCCAAATCTACTGTTCTTGGGTAGTCCATGAATACTGGCTCGCACCCAATTGCCCCTTGTGCCCAAGGACTTCTTGCTGGCTAAGTTTTCCTTGTGGGGTGCGGAGAATGTTGTGCTCGGTGGTGACAAGAGGAAGTCAATAAGTCCCCTCAGGGGCGTACCCTGGGTTGGGAGAGAGGTCCGAACCTGACTCCCCAATCACTTAGTTCATCCAGCTCTAGGACTTTTACTTCGATCAGTCTTGCTTCCTTCCTTAGCTCTTTTGGACAGTCTCGGGCCAATGCCCTATCTCCCTTGCAGTATCGCACTGATCCTTCCTGGCCTCTGCTTCCCCTTGGTGCTTTTTTACCTTTTCTTGTGTGGGTCCTTGGCTGCCAGGAGGCAGCTAAATTCCTCGGGAGGTCAGCAGTGAGGTAGCTAGTAGTGGCCAGGTCTCGAGTCTGCTTACTGCTGGCAGCCATGGTGAGCCTGCTTGTCCTCAGGAGCTCCCGGTTATTATATACCTTTGGCTGCCGCAGTAAAGTCCTGCAGACTTTTTTTTTTCTCCTAGTCTATCTATTTTCTGTAATTTTCTCCCTAATGTCTATGGCGATTGCTTTACAAGAGCCATGATAACCGCTGCCTTGCTTTCGGAGCCTCTGGATCCATGGGGGGGGGGTATAGGTACCTTTGAGTGCCTCATGATCCGTTCTAAAGGCGGCAGTTCATCTTCCCTGTTGTACATTTCCTACCTTGGCCAAATTGGTTGGCTTTCTACTAGCAGCCGACCAGGAGACCCCCATTAAGTCTGGCGGTGGGCCAGACCTCTCCTTACCTTCTGCCCGTGGTAATCCCACTGGGGCCGGGATTGGGGAAGGGCATCTATCTGAGCCTGGTTGGTGGTACAAGGATTTCCGTCTGGAACTGGTTTTGGGCCCCGCAGAAATTCTTTCTCTTTTCTTCAGTAAGTAGTTAGGACCTGCAAAAGCTGCTGGCAATCATCCCGTGGGCTGATGGGTAAAAAAGAACAGAAGTCTAATAAATCAATATAGCCCCTGCGGTTCTCGGAAAATTTAAGTTCGAGCTTTCCAATTGTAGAGGTCACTAGTGGCGAAAGGCCAATAGTGATGGGGCTGATTCCCCTCGTCGGTCGGTGGCTAGGGGCAGGAATAGTGGAAACAGAAGCGTGAGGCCGGATTGCCCCCTCTGGAGCCCTTTGTCTGGTAAAGGCGGGCTTCCCCTGGGCGTTTCCGCCTCCCGCTCTTGGAACAGCGTCTGCCTCCCAGAGGATGGTCTTCCGGCATCCTAGAGGGGTTATCTGAGGGGAGGAAAATTAATTCTTCTTAGTACCCCCATGAGACCCAGGGTAGAGGGTGCACAGAAGAGCTGGAGTAGATTTTCCTCTTCTCTGTCTCTAAAAAGCAAGTGGTTTTGGCTCGGGAGGGCAGGGGTTAGGAAGGGCTTGAAGCCAAGAGGAGTGGGTCTTCTACAAGGTCTGCCAAGTGATAATGTGAGGAGCTGATCAGAATGGCCACATAGGCTGAGAGAGATGATACTCCTGACTTGGTGGATGGTAGGAAGGTCGAAGGTCCCTCTGATGGCCATCCGACATTGAAAGTTGGCCCCTTGCTAAATTTCAAAAGCACAACCGACCCTTCCCGGACTTCCACACTGAGGTTGTTAGCTCTTCCCCTCATCCTTAAAGTGATCAATCATAATACTTAGAGGTAGTCTGAGTCTGTCCCGCCGCGTCAAGTCAGTGTCCGTGAAGTCCACAGAACAAACGAGAGAAACACAAAACAGACAAGAACAGAGGGCCCTAGAAAGTCTTCCAACTCGGAAGCAAAACTGCAAACTAGCTTAGACCTTTGAGGATTCCATGTCCCTCAAAACTGATGAGGATTCCGTCTCCCTCAGGCAGCGACCTCGCGCCATTGGCGGGAGCGACCGCCTCATCTCAGACCTTTGAAGGATTCCGTCTCAGAAGGAGAAATGAATATCTTCCGAAACTCGGCCGTGGTCACCCAGTCGTCCACTTGAACCGGCACTACCAGAATTCCAATAGCTCACAGAAAAGACAGAACAAACAGGCATAACCGTGGCCAGTCAGGCTCTCGGGTCGAGGTCCCTCAGGGGTTCTTGAGGATCGGGCGAGCCCAAATGTTATGCCCAGAATTCGTCCCAAAGACCACTGGGGCGAGTCGATGCAAAAGCAAGAGCCTTTATTCAGTGGCTGAGCTCAATCCCACCTGCACCCGGCGCGGGCGAGATACCAGGGAAAGAAGCCGAGTTTCAAGGACAAGAGTTTTATTGGGTCCTGGGGCATTGGTGAGTAATGGCTATGGCCTCAGCGATTGGCTGGGAAGGTCCTGAGGGAAGAAGTCCAGATCCTATTAAGAGCAGAGTTATCAAAGGAGGAAGGTGTGGTCAAGGTGAAGGACACAGAACAAGATGGAGTCGGCTGGCGTAGGCCCACCCTTTCAGTAGGTATTTTGATTGATTTTTAAACCTGGTGCTCCTTGTCTCAAGTCACCAAAAAGTTATAACATATAAAAATTCTGCTAATGTCTTAAGGGAAAATAAGACTGTTGTATATTTGTTGCACACGGTTTTAGGCAGTGTTTTCTGTAGAAAGGGATCTGTTTTTAAAAGCTCTCATAGGGCTAGCCATATAAAACACTTTATTCCATATTGTCACCATCTAGTTTGCATTTTAATTTTAGACTTGCTTTCTCTGCTTAAAATAGTTGCACAGATACTACTTTTGCTCTTCCACAGAGCATTGTGGCCATGAGGTCAAGGTTGAGTTCCTATCTCCATGTGGACCTGTAAATT